GTGCATCTGGAACAGGATACAACATATTTCTCACTGCGGATCTGAAATTATCCAAATAACTCAAAATGGCATGACTGTGCCCCTGTTTTCCGTTTTATGGGAGAGCTCCTTTGAAAGGCACAGCAGGACCACAATCACAGACAGTTCACCACCACTGCCAGCATGTGAACTCTATTTCAATTTAAGAAGCAAACCAATTTTCTATTCCTCTTTGTACCTATGCCAGGCACTGGTGGTTTAGAGCAAGATCAAATTTCTAGGTACTGAAATGGTTGCTGAAAGCAAGTAAGTACGCAACTCACAAAAGTATACTTGTTGTTGACATCCATCTGTCTCGAGAGACAATCTACAGGGGTGAAGTCCAACTGCTGTGTTACAAGCACCCTAGAGCACAAGCCTGGGCAATGTGTATGTAGGTCCAGGGCTGCCTAGACAACAAGAACCCCTCTTGGCCTTGCTGATGTGGTCCAAAGGAAAGCAGAGCAATAAACTGAGCACAAGCTTGGCTGCAGGAGTTGCCAGGAGGAGGTGTACAAGGCACCATCCAACCATCTTAGGTACTTCACTGTGAATTTGTGTCGGGTCTACTCCTTAGCCTTTTCTTCTCCCAAAGATATCTCACAAGGCAGCAGGGGATCAGAGTTTCCTTCTCCTCTTCCTTCCCAAGTTGATGAGCACCATCTGCCCCTCACTTTCCTCTACAGCACATGCAGAAACTGCCTTCTTGACTGTTGGACCCACTATTGGTCTTGTTCACTCAATCTGACAGAGCCTTTCTTAGTGTGCAGGAGAGGTCACTAACTCACCAAGGGTTTGAAACCCATCAACCACCCTGACAATGAGCTTGTGTCCACACTCACCTATTTTCTATAGATGACCAATACAACACTGGGCATTTCAGTTTGCTATGGCAGTCAGGAGAAAAAGAGGTGCAGATCATTACTGCTAAGACTTGGGTACACCTGCAGAAGATAACCTTCATCTGTGGCAAAATTATGCTGTGTATTCAAGGAGGAAGGCAAATGTCTTTACAAGCCTTATTAAGGCATTTTTTTTACCCATGTGAGCTCCTAAATTTTGAAGGGACCAGAGGAAATTTCAATGCTCACATGTGCATCGGTCACATCTCCCAGCCTACACATGACCAGCATCAAGGGGCTTCATGTAGTAGGATTTCCAAAGGGATGGAAACTTTTCCACTGACCTCTTTATCATTTATTTATTGACCAGCAGGATATCAGCATCAGAGTTAACCCTGTGCATTCCCGTGGGTACTGAACATCTGAACAGGGCTATAGTTTAAGGATTTCTAGATGATACATGGTGGATACATACCACAAGATATTTGGGCAATAAGAGTGAGCTTAAAAAACTGGATCCCCGATTAAAAGTGCACACATAACGGAGTCTTCTTCCAAAGTAGCATTTGCCGGTGCCTTTCCAGTTTGTCTGCATCCAATAATTCTCCTCTCCTACAAAAACTTGTTCAAATAATCATAACTCACTGCAAAAACTATATCTAGAAATGTTTGCATGAAACAGGTGAAATTGCAAAAACGCTTCCATTAAATACTCCAAATTTCCTTATTAACTCCTCCACAATATTAAAATTGTTTGCACAACTGCAATTTTCACTTAAGTCCACATTAACATTGTGTGTGTGTGTGGCATAAGTTTGATTGTTAACTTGATAAAGGCTGTGTTATTAGCCGATCCTAGCTAGTGATGTCTCTTCATCAGTCCTACAGTTTCTAAAATAAAGCTATGATAAAATCTTTATGTAAAAGACCAGTTTTAATAAATTGCCAAATCACACATTTGAGTGCTGCCTTGATAAAAAAAAAAGTTACTTATTTGAAATCCAGACTCTTGCCTCCCCTAAATCCACCTCAAACACCAGAAGCTTTCCAACTCTCTAACTACATTTTAAGCTTATTTATACCCACTGTGGAATAAAAAAAACAACATATGCTTTTAATCATATCTGGAAAAGCATGATAGAAATACCAGATCACACTTTACACACGTGAAAGGCAAAAATTCAAAATAAGTGCTCTTCTATCACATTGAGCATGGAGGAAAAGCTCTGGATAATTGATCTGCACAGCTGGAAGTAGAAATGCTTAGGTCATTTCCTATTTAGGGATATGCTGTGGAATGGCTAATGGGTTAGACTACCTGAAGGAAACCACAGCCAATTAGTTCCATTCAAATGGGACCTTTTAAATAATTTCTATTAAACCCCAGTCTTGCACTAAAGCATTGATTAGGAATATATGCACAGGCTATGCTGGTGAAAGATATTAAAACTTACAAATGACCACAGCTGTCTGCAACATGCTCTAATCCACCCCTTCACACTCACCTATGAAAAGTTTAAATGATTGCTCTAATTCTCTGAAAAATCTGCAAGCTGAAATAATCTTGGTAACTGCCAATCAGGAGACACGATACCTGTGTTAAATGAAAACATACCCCTGAACATGACCCTTAATTTTTGAAACGCTAAGACATACTTTACAGCTGTTCAGCAGTATGTGCAGCAGTATGCGCAGAAGTAGATAGAGCACCTTGCTTTGCAGTTTCATTCATTTGGTAACTTCAGTCCAAATGACTATTGGTAGGAAAGGCTCTTGCCTCAAACCAAAAAGCACAGCTTGTCAGGCCACTGGCTTGACTCCAAAAGCATCGTCTCAGGTGCATACTCAATACTTTTTCTTGTGTAAGCTCTAATGCTGAAATCATTCTCATTCTCATACACACACACAACCTACATTTATATGCATGCACAGGATTAGGCTTTTAAGAAAAGTGGTCCAAAGTAAATAAGATCATGAAGAAAAAGCAGTTGCTTTTGCTTTCGGAACAAAGACCAAGCAACAATGGCCAGGCACCCAGCTTTTCATAGTATGTATCTTTATTTCATTATGCTAGGAGTGCCTAACTCTAAGTCTGACTAGACAACTGATCTGTCAGTGCAAGTGCAACTCCATGCAAAGTAAGTCTTTCCCCTAATTCCTGGCACCAGGAACTATCACTCTACAGCACTTCTATCTTGTCAGGATTCAACTTTAGTTTATTGGCCCTCACCCATTACTGCCTCCAGGCATGGATTAAGCACCTGTAGTGCTTCATAAACATCCAATGGAAAGGAAAGACCGAACTGGATGCCATTAACATCATGGTGACCCCACAGTACAAGCGTTAAGGAGCAAAACAGAAGCCCCCTGTTGCTACTTTCCGGAACCAGCCTGGCAGGATGGTGCAGAACCATCGTAACTCAGTGCCTTCTATTCCTAACCCACAAAGCTAGTTCAGAAAAACACTATGGTTGATGGTATCAAAAACTTATGAGAGATCAATGAGAGTTAGCAGGATCATACCCCCCATTCCTCTAATACAAGCAAAGTTATTTAAGTGCCAAAACTAAGCCTTAAATCAGATTGAAATGAATCTAGATAAGGCACATCCAAAGCTGGCCAGTCATCTCTCTCTCTCAAGCACCTTGGTATATGTCACACTACTGAGTCCATGGAGGACCTTATGAGGAGAGATATATCAATGCCTCTTTAAGAGCAGCTAGCACAATCCCCTTCCTATAAGGAAACATTTTTCATTCCCCGAACCAACCCAGTCAATACCCACCAAATAGCTTTTATAAGCCACAATGGGCAAAGGTTGAGATTACATGAATACTTACAAGCATCTTGTTCTCTCTTTTTTAGGCCCCAATAACTGAAATGAATCCCAATTAAACAGGCTTGATGATGCTCCTGAAACCTTCATCAGTCCTACAGATAGCACTGAACTAGTGGTCTATCTCATTATAAGGCAGCTTCCTGTTTTTCACTTTTTAGAATCACGAAATCATGTCCAAAAATACCTACATACAGGCGCAAGTTGTCTGCAGGCAAATTCCTTCCTGGGCCCAGATATGGTGACTAAACAATTCTACATCAAAGGCAAGTAAAAGCACTGCCCACTTACCAGTGGACAGAGACACCAGATAAACAGTGGGTGGGTGGGACAACCGCTTTGGACTGTGCCATGAGCCAGCAATGCAGTCATCTTTTATGCCCTATAAGTGGACTCAACCTAGAACAGGCATAATCAGGTCCACAAGAGGGACATCACATACCCCGATGGCCAATGACTGGGTAGTTTACATTTCAAATTTATTGGTGGGCAACCCCACTAGCATTTTCTCCCCCTCCCCTGCCAATGGCCAAGACCACAGCAGATGTCAGCTGACCATGCAAGACCTCCAGCACTGCAACCTTGACTCCCCAGCAGTGACGCCGGGCAGCAACTACTGCCCCCGTGAAAATTATGGTAAGCCATCTTTTTGTGTATGTCTTCTGTCAAAAAGGGACATGTCACATACACAAAAGTATATATTTGGTTGGTAGTACCTTGACAGTCTTAATTATGATGGATGCATTATTTCATATATTTAAATTTCTCAGATAAAGTTGTAAACATGCAAATGGTACAGAAGTGGGTTATATATGCTGCTAAAAAAACTGCTATCCTAAGAGATTTTATGAATTTTCAAATACCGCTGGAATTATCTTTGCTGGAGATGTGTAAAATTAAGTCACTTTTTTTTGCAACTGTAGAACTGTAGATTTAGTATCCAAACAAATAGCATTTGAATGAAGAAAACTAATATACAAGATGGATGTACTTTAAGTAATGTTTTAAATTATGGTTTAAAAAATGATGTCACCATTCTAGAATGTGAAAGTTCAATAAACAGAAATTCAAACAATTGCTATATTGTCTTCCATGTATATATCATGGAATTAGTCTTACTTGCTAGATCCTATGTAAAGATTTGCTAAGAGAAATATAGAAAATGTCTCATTCTGAATTCAGCAGAATACACCAGGGAAGGTTAAATTTCCTTATTCAGCCATAGAAAAGCACAAATATAGTTAAGAAAATAATGGTTTTGAAAGTGATACATGCATTCCATTAATATACAGTAGGACAGTTACCGGGTAGCCATTTCGCCCTGGTTGACCCTGGTTGAATGAAATGAAATGGAATGATACTCATTAGGAATACATACAATGATATGTGAGGCTACACACCTGCTTTGTACATTAACAGGAAATGTAACTTTGTATCACTGCTGTCTCTTTTTACAATTATTTATATTCTCTTGCCCTGAAAAGTGCATTTATATGAACAAAAATGTCATTTTAAATTCAGCATTTGTTTTTTTCAGTCAAGGGTAGCAGAATATGCATGCTTACTTAGAAATAAATTCCACTGAATCCAAGGGGGCTTACAGTGTGCATAGGATTACAGCTGAGTTGCTCACGAGTAAGCAACACTGGTTTCAGTGGGATTCATGCACGCAATGAACTGATTGCAGGATTTCAGTTGCACCTAAAGTACAGTGATACCTAGGTTTTTGAATGTAATCCATTCTGGAAGACTATTCGAGTTCTGAAACGTTCAAAAACCAAAACTCAATAGCCGACAGCTAGGCATCAGAGTTTTGCACTCAGCGGAAGCTGCATTTCCTGTTTGACTTCCAAGGCGTGTTCAAAAACCAAAGCATTTACTTCTGGATTTACGGCGTTCGAGTTCCAAAATGTTCATCAATGGAGACATTTGAAAACCGAGGTACCAGGGTATATCAAATTGCTCTTTCTATACTCAAGATTCAGGAACACTACTCATATATTTGAAGAGGTGCAAATTTCAAAAGCAAAAAGATACAAATTCATTTGTGATTTACTTTATGTGCTAAAATCAGTTATCTGTTTTGTTGTTTTGTTTAGTAGCTATAATCACATTCCTAAAGCATGATGCTTTGTTTATTTATTTACTGGATTTATGTAACGCCTTTCTGCCAAGGCACCCAGATTGGTGTACAATGTACACTATATAAAATGAAAACTGGCAAGAGTTTTCTCATAACAGCTGATCAAATGTGTGTTCCCTGGCCTGGGTTCCCTTTCTTCTGTCTTCCCTCCAAGCATGTAGTCTCCCAGGGAAGGCAGAAAGAATGTATAAAAACACACTCAGAATATATAATCCCATTTAAAAATCCAAGGTTGTGAATAGGCAGCATAACAACACATGAAAATCCAAGACTTCACTTACTTTTATAATTGAAAAAAAACTTTTATATCATTGGATTAAAAATCCCTATTTAAGAATTTGTGTCATGTTGTAAGAAATTCCCACTGAATTTCAAAGGGGCTTTCTCTCAAATAAGTGAACTTAAAACAGAGAGCCTTATTTTATAAACAGGAAATGTGAAAGAAGCAAAGAAAGCTTATCTCTCTCCATCAAGATGCTATCTTCAAGACTATTACCAAACACTTTGGTGGTTTCACATACATATGCAAAGCACCTGTGGTAGCCCAGGTTCATCTAAATAGGACTGCAGCATGGACCAGGAGGTGGGGTCAACCAAAGTCCACATATGTTATGGTTACCAGATTTTTTTCAATGAATCTGGGGACACTTTTTTTTTAAGCTGAGTAGCAGCAGGGAGTCAGTAGTGGGGATGGTGAGGCAAAAGACCCTGGGCCCAAGCACACATGCAAAGCCCTTCTTTCGTACACTGTGAAACATAAATGTGCAGAGATTTTTAAAAACTGGGCAACAGCGCACCACCCGCCCATGACTCCCAAACTTCCCCCGATCTCCTGCCCCCTTCCTCCTTTGTTTTGACTGATCAGGGGAGGCTGGGGAGTCACAGGCGAGTGGCTGTTGCCCAGGTTTTTTAAAAAAAACTCTGCATGTTTATGTTTCACAGGGTGCAAAAGAAGGGCTTTGCACCTTGCCTGGCAGAGAAAGCATGTGCCTTACGCCCCTCCTAGGCAATACCCACTCGACCGTGACTCCCGAGCCTCCCCCAATCTGTCAAAACAAAGGTGTAAGGAGGCAGGAGATCTGTACCACTGGACGTCCCTGGTTCCCTTTTGGCAGTGGCTGCGGCAGCAGCAGCAAGCAGCTGCTGAAGCCAGCCAGAGCCAGCTGCCCTACCAGGCTGGCTCTGGGCTGCTGAGGCTGCCACTGCCACATTTCCCGGGGACAGATTTGCAAATCTGGGGACTGGGGATGTCTGGTAACCCTAATATATGTGTTCTCCTTCACTGGATTTAGGTTGCAGCACGTGCTTTGCAGATGGCAGAAAACCCAGTAAGTCAAACAAACACTTTAGTTACACACCGTGAACAATCATAAAGAACAAGTGAGTAATGTGTCCTTTGTCTATAATGTGAGAACAGGAGGAAAAAAGATAACCTGAAACTATTTTGGGGGTAAACAAATCTAAGGCCCAATACGCCACAGTTGCTATTCATGTTTGCTACTATCATTGTATTGCAACAGTACCCAAATGTTTCCATATGGTGGACTGGTTTTTCCAATGAATGGGCTCTGGTGGCTTGAAGGAAGCTTCTGCCACATTTGCTGTAATTTTGCTGTGCCCAAATCTACCTATCTCTGCTCTTCCCTCTGCAAGGCAGAGCTTGAGCCAAAATCCCCCAGCTTTAAATAAGGATATGAATTAGTGAAAAGGCCACTGAACAAGTGTTGTATGTTGAGAAGGAAGGATCTATGAGATGCAACAGGAGGTTCTCAGATTCATTGTACTATTTATCCGGAGGAAGGGGAACCAATGGCCTTTGAAATATTGCTGGATTACAACCCCCATCCGTGTTAGCCAGCATGGCTAATGTTAAAGTATGATGGGAGTTGTAACTCAACAACAATGGAGGGCCCCACCCCTTTCTTAATCATACAAAAACCCTATTGGGGTAAATTCTGACAAACAGAAGCTCCAGTTATAACCAAGCGATTCTCATTACTATTAACTGTCGTATGAAAATAATAACAATCTTCACATGATCTACTGACTGCAAAACAACCTGATTTTACTTAGATATGACTAGTCATATTCCAAAGTTGAACCACTGGTCTTGTGTAAGGCTTGTTCACTCTTAATAGTATATATGTGTGGCCTGTTACACATGAAGAATGGGATACCAATGGACAAGATGGACTTTGTTCCTCTTCTTGCCACTGTTGCTGCTGCTCATTTCTCTACCATAAAAGTGAATTTCCAGGGCTGTTGGCAAAGTGTGATTTGGTTTCTCTGATCTCTCCTTTTAATCACAGATTAAATTGGATGTATCTCAAAGCCCTTCAGCCACATGTGAGGTGCATTGGGGAGGGGTTCGAATACAGGAAGGGAAGCCAGAAAGAGACGCCACCAGAAAAAAGTCAACATATTACTTTCTGTTCTGTTCCAAAACATTCTAACGCTGAATTGCTAGAATGGGGTTGGTGGTAAGAGCATTCTTTTAGATGGAATGAGCTTTTCCCCATTGTCTGTTCAGGCTTCTAGCCTCTAAGTGTGTAGGATGTTGGGTTGGTAACAGCATCTTTTCAGCCACTAGTTTGGAAAGGCTTTCTTCTTGCCATTCTGTGTTGTGACTTAGTAGTTTTATATTGTTTTGCTTGCTTATTGATTTATGGTTTTTATTGTACTCTGCTGTATATTCTGTTTTAATGTGCTGTTCACTGCATGGGGGGCTTTTTTGGCTGAAATGTAGTATACAAACAAAGAGTAATAATAATAACCTGCTTCCAGCGTTCATGTATACTGTTCTGCTTCAAAATGTAAAAGACAAAACCCAAAACAAGATAAAAAATAATATTGAAAAACCATTTGATGTTTAAAACATGTTAATAACTGAGAATGTATTTAGGATGATACTTGGTACATTTAACATATTCATCATTTTTACCAGTTTTCAAAAGCACTTTCTGACTCATTCATGATAACCATAGATGATCCAATAGTATATCAGTTGTACTTACAGGAGGTCCTACAAAAAGAAAAGACAAGGAAAGAAAGACAAATATATGTAAGTTTATGAAAACTTGAAAACTATTCATATAGAGTGTCCATATAGATTTTTTTTGATGAAAGTAATGGCATTTTCATTCTTCTCACCCAGCATTAAAGATTATTATTTTGCTGTGAGTGCCAAGCCATCTCATGTACAAAATACTTTGTGTTCACAAGTACATCTCTGTCTACAGAATTTTTCTTAAACATGCAGTTCTGCAACCCTTGTAGTCTGACTAATAGGAACTCCCTCCCTTTCCCCTCTTGGATTTAACCTCAGCACCAAGGCAGAATTGCTTGAATCTACAGTTACTCCTTCTACTTTTCCTAAGACAGGCCAACTTTCTTTTATAGGTAATCAACTCCTTTCAAGGCCTACTTATAAAATGTTCCCCATTAAAAATGTCACACTTTATGAAGCAATATTAGCACATTTTCCCAATTATTTACACTCAAAAGCTTTTTGTACAAATGTTCTAGAGAACATTATCAGAGGTCTGCAAATCACATCTAATATTTCTTTCAGGCTTATTAAGAGGAGCAGCTGTAGCCATCAAATCAATGACTTTTCATTAGCTTTTATGCTTCCCTTTTTCTTCTGACTCAAGTATGTTGCAAAGGGGGCACATAATAGCAACAGCTGTCCTTGAAGTTTGCTTTAAATATAGTCAGACTTTCATTTTTAACAATGTGATTTTATTGTGTAGTTAACTAAAGTAATTTCTTGTTGTTGTTAAATGATCCTAAAGAGAATTTTAAACTTACAAGGTCTTTTTCTAACAGAAAGCAAATTAGTTTCATTTGTTAATAATGTCATGTGTTTATGACATTTAAAGGCTCCAAGGACTACTGAAATGCTATGCCAAATCACAGTGGTTTCATTTGATTTATGAGGATGAGCTGCCTAGGGCTCACACGCTTGTCCTCTTGTGGTATGGTTGTCAGTAAGCTGTTGAAAGCTTTGATTTGCATTTTAGATGTAGCTGCAGTTTAATATCATCTGTTGAAAGAAGCCAGCTTCATAAACTATGGTTTGAAGTTAGCTTGTTGCAACAAACAATGGTTAAACCCTTTGTATAGAAAAAATTAAAAATAAGTTTGCTATATCTGTGTTATGTATTTGTTACACATGTTTTGTTTTAATAGACGTGTTACTGTTTTTATATTTTTTAAGTCTCTTTGGGGGAAAATACTATAAAAATTGCTTTTCGTATATGAAACAGTATCAGCAAGCATGCCTTCACAAAATGAACCAGGTGAAAACACACACACCAGAAGCATTACTTTTAAATCTGAAACATACCAATCTCTCCTCTTCTTCCTCGCTTGCCTCGTTTACCAGGAGGACCTGAAAAGCAAACAGTTCCCGATTTGTAATTGAGGAGTGCAATTGAAGTGGGCTAGTACATGCATGAAGTCAACGTGACACGCAGCATGGGATCAGTGACATCACGATTCAACCACAAATGCCTCCTAATGGTCTTTCAAGAAAATAGTCTTCCTTGTCCCATCCTCAGCAAAAATGCCACAAAATTCATTGGCACTATTTATTTCATGTCATTGTACAGCTTGGCTTGCCTAGCACATCTAGTGCTATGCATGTTTACTGGGAGGTATGCCATGCTCATTCGCAGGCAAGTGTGTAATGGATTGCAGCCTTAAACAATAACAGCAAAACTATGAATGCCTCAGTGGTTTAAATAACAACTGAAGTGTTCAGCACATGTATAACATACTAGTAACAATGAAAAAGTCTTGCTTGCAGCAGTGGTTAGTCAAAACTAGGGTTGCCATATGTCCGGAATTTCCTGGACACACCCAGGATACAGATGTCACACACTGTGTTTGGGTGGAAATCACAAAAATACCCTGAAAAATCTGGACACATATGGCAACCATGTCAGACGTGCCGTTTTTGGCTAACTCTAGAAAGATAGCTCAAAAACATCATAATTCTTTTGAGATTTTGCATTGGAAAAAAGCTCAACAACTTAGTCAAAACAGCGTAACTCAGAACACCTGAAATAAAACAATCTTTGCTTGTTGCCTTACATGAAATCCAGAGCCATGATGCCATTATTAAGACCTCTCCCAGTTAACTGCACTGCACATTTCAAACAGTAAAAGGACCAGAAGCAGAGCCTCTGAATTTCTGATAATTCCTCAGACAAACTGTCATCAAATATATGGTTAGATCTGAAATACTGACAGGCATTATGTTTTAACCTTTGAAATAAAGCAGAGATGAGGAACCTGTAGCCCTCCATAATGTTGTGGGACTCCCAACTCCCACCAGCCCTAATCAGAGTGGCCAATTATCAAGGATGATGGAAGTTGCAGTCTAGGGACATCTGCAGGGCTGGCTGGATTTTTCTGCACATTCTGGATGTGGCTGTGTGTTGGAATAGACAAATGTTGGAGGGAAAAACCTCAAATGTTTCAAGTCCTAGGCAAAAGTTGTAACACACTGAGGTCGGTTTCAGATTACCAGTAAAGATGGGCAGCATCTTAAACATTTTCTTCTTTTTGTAATATATATTTTCCTGGCCGCCTGATGTAGCCAGGAACAGTAGTCCTAAGCTCATCTCAGCTGCCATGCCATCCCATAATATAATGCTTGAAGAACACTAAGTCGTAATGTAGCACCATTCCAGATGCACTGAAGAGAAAGAAAGGTGGCAGTTCCCGGTCTCCTTTAGACTTATAGACTTGCTTGCCTATATCCTGCTGGACAGTGTTCTGGGACAATACAGTTGATGAAAACTTGTTTTCATAAATTAATCCCTAACCATTTAATTAACGTGCCATCACTAATAATATCAGAAATGTGGTTGTAGGATAGATTGGCTGTTGTTAGTATTACTCCACCATGCAAAAGGAGAAGAGCTGGCAAATTGCATTTGTGTCTGAGCATCAAGGGATAATGTATAAAGCCCTATTTCCTCTCCCTTTTAAGGCAGCAATGCGTTTCCAGGAGAAGCAGAGGGAAATGCTGAATTTTGGGCCAGCTTGTGCAAGATATTCAAGTACAGCATTCTGCAGAATCTCTAGCATAGAAAAGGCAATTGTTTGTTTTCTCCCTATCCATTTGTTCTAGCTATTAGCTTGGGAAAGGATCCTGCAGCAGAATTCCATGCCTTCCTTTCTACATGCAGAATATGGATCCCCGTGTACAGTACCACACGTATTCCTGGTCCAATATAAAAGTCACCAATTAATCTCAAAACAATTAATTAATGTTTAAGTACAGAGAGTAAATTCTGTGCCACGTAATACCTTACCAACACAAAGCACTTTAGAAACAACCTCTTGTTTTAAATGTCACTTTCAGTTTTAAAGCCTCTGAGAAAGAAATGTGACTTCGCGGTGGAACAAACTGGTGTCATGAAGATTAATGAAACCAAATAATACACAGAAAAAAACAGTGTACAGTAGTTCAACTTGATGGCTACTTATAAAGCATTCAATGATTTAAGTAGAACAGCAAGATCTGGTGCTATTTTCCTGCTTCTCTAGAGAGGTATTTTAAACAAGTTGTTGTTGAGGATAGCATTAATCAATTTAATTTCAGAAACTGTGTTGGTTTATATTTCAATCCCTTGCTATCATGAACTGTCTGAACAAGTTACAGGATCTGTTAAATCTCAGCTTTAAATATAACCAGCAAAATAAAGCAGATAAAGGTAAAATCTATATTTTAAAAATATACATATACTTTTTCAACCAAGCTATTGATTACAGTATAATGACAAGCCAGTCTAATTATATGCACTAAGAGCCCACCCAGACATGACGTTCCCCTATCACTAATAGAACAGGGTTTTGATGGCTTTCAACAAAAATAAAATATGAAATCAAGGAAGCGGTTGGCACAAAAATATATCAATCTCGTACAGATCATGGAGTTTACTTGTCATCTTGCAAAACTCACTGGGCTCTGGTCCAAATACAGACTTTGGGCCCCCCGAATATTCACTTCAAAAGAAAAGATGGCTGTTACAAGGTCCCTGAATTCTTGTTTGGCTCAGATTAAAATTTGAGCTGTGCAAGAACGTGTTTGTAACCACTCAGCTCTCAAACTCCCTGTCATGGGTTGGCCAGGGCAGGACCATGCAGATGGATAACTTGTTGGAGAGTAATGTGGAGGGCTCCAATGGGATAGGGTGGGGGTTCTTCCAGACACAGGGGGGCCTGATAGTAAGGATTCTAAGAAGGGGTCAAGTGGGGTGCAGCCTTTCCCTCAGCCTTTTCTCTGACCTCACCTGAACCCACAGCAGGTGCTGTGAGCCCCACCTCCCTCTTCTTCACAGCTGCTGGAGCCTATCTCTGACTACTTCACAGTGCCTCTTGTGCCACCCATACTAGAGTTATCAGATGCTGGGTCTAACCTTGCTTCTGCAGAGGGGGGCAGAGACACCCCTTCCATTACCTCAGTCCTGGAGAAACCACAGGAGATGTGAGAATATGCAGCCGATCCCACTTTCAAGGCGGAGTGCCAGGTTGCTAGCTAAGGTGTAGATGCACTAAGCTGAGCCCAGTCCATTCCTTTATACAGGATAGCAAGGAATGTGTCAAGTGTCAGACTAACGTCTATGCTTTGATTAGATAGATCACCTGCCTTTGTATAACTGTGCCTTGGATTAACTATGTGCATGGCCTGCTGCACCTAAGACCAGACCAACACTTTGCATATGTATTGCACCAACCTAAAACATTTGGAATAAAAGCTTTGCAGGGAAAACGTTATTTGAGTTATTGTTCTTCAGCAACTGGGAATAAGGACACTCCCTTTTTCTTCCCAAACCCCAATCCAGGCATAGACCTGGCATGGACTACTGCAGCATTAGTGCCTTAGCCAGGGGAAGAAAGAAGCATGGCTTCTGGTTTTATCTTGTTTCTCTGGACTCTGGTGCACTAGTAATATGCCAGTGAGAAGGACCTTGGTTGCTCTTGGGAAATGTTTTTAGAGGGGCAACTGCTCAGGTTTGGATGTGTGCTAGTTCATAATGGTCACTCCATTGAAGAGGTAAGCATTACCAGACCCCTGAGAAGAGTTCCTGGCTTGGCAGTAACAATGCAACTATGCACAGAAAGAAGATCTGATCTCCCTATCATGCTTGTACCACAGCATGCTTGTACTATAGCTACTACCACTTTGACTTTGAGGATTGAAAATTAAATGCAATGATTTCAGTTTAAAAATAAAATACAGTACCTCCACTTGGCTCCCATTGAATTCACTTGGATAACAAGACCATCACTAGAATTCTTAACTGGAAATAAATCTCATGCTAGCATCCTGCAATTCTCTGATGATGATGATGATGATGATGATGAAATAACCTTGTCAGTTTGCATTTCTTGGTACAGAAAGTATTTATCTGATATGTAAAGATCTTTCCTATTCTAACTGATTCAAGAGGGTTCTGGAAGCTTCTCTGTGTGATACAAGCTGGTGCAAGCTGGAAGTTTCTAGCTGACAAGCAAGTTTATATTCTGCCTAGAAACAAGCAGAAGGTTCCTGATGTTTGGGTTATTCCTTCAGAGAAACAGCTGGTTTGAACTAGTTCTGTTACCTCTTTCACTCAAGGTCATTGTGTCCTATAATAACAGGCCATAAGGAGCCTGAGTTTCACTTTTTACCTCTCTTTCCTTCTGGTGTGGTGTTCTGTATGTAGTATGCTTAGTGTTAAGGTTTTAGTCTTTCATAAATTATTGGAAATTAAGTCTGCTGCAACTGGATTTCTTATGGACAGTGCCAATCCTAATGTACATTGTAAAGCTCTGCTGGATGAAATATTAATTGCCTCTGGTCTGGGTGTTTTTGTTTTTTGTTTTGGAGAAACCTGCAATGTGTTTAAGTTTATTTTACTCTGCTGACTATACATTGGAATCTGCTCTGGCTCAATATGAGCAGAATTCATGACAACCCTTACAAGTCCTACTGTTGGGGGGGGGCGGAGAAAATCTTCTTAAGTAGAGATGTTACATTTTGTTTTAGCTAGCACAGAATAGAGGAACCTCATATATTCAGCTTGGCAAACACAGAAATAGCTGCTGTCACTTACTTGATAGACATGACTGAAGGACAGCTGAAATAAGCAGGCAGAGTCATTCTATACTAGCATGGAATGAAAGCCTTCTTGTAGTTTCAGTTTGCCATTCCAATGCATTACTACTTTGTCATAGCAAATGTTTTCCTTATCAAGACACAAAAACATGCTGTAAAAAGACAACACAAACAATCACATTTGCATTTTTACAAACCTGCTTAATTGAGTTGCACTGATAATAAGAAATTTAAATGCAAATTTCCCAGAGGAACTTAAAGAATAATATTAATATTAT